TGTTTAGAAAATAAAATGCAGATAACACCAAATAAATAATTTTAGTACCAATCCTTGGTGTTAAACTTTATAGCAATTTACTTTATTTTTATTTCATATTTTTATTATTAATTGCACATTTCTGAACTTTGGCCAGCACACAACATTCACAGTGATGGTGGTATTCAGTGGATTACTGATAGGATGTACTGTGATAAATACACACTCATGTTCTCATGAATCAATGTTTTGGGGGGTGTATTCCATTAACCACACTATATTTTTTTTAGTACAAATTTATGTTTACAACCAAGTGGGATGGATTTATCCCAGGAATGCAGGGTTGGTTGTTGTGTAAGCTCCTGACAATTAATTAGCTTTTTAAAAATTATTGTAATATAAGTGCCTGACATTAAGCTTCTGATTACTGAGCATCCACTTTGAAGGCTGCTATCTCGAATAAACATATTGCTAGGTACACAACTACATAAAGAGCCAGGCTGTTTTTCCTCCATGAAGTTCCCCTTTTTAGAAAGCTCTAGATGACCTTAATAACTGGCTGCTTTAGTGACTGTCTGTCCCTTCCTGCACTTTAATTCCTGGTCTTACGTTTAAAATTCACCAATAAAGAGTGAACTCTTGAAACTCTGGGCACCCCACTCTCGACCCCAGGAAAGGCAGAACCCCAGAGCCATGATTGCTTTCTCTACCATGAGCTTGTTGTGCCTCCAGGACCTGTGAGTAACAAACCTTGCATTTTGAAAATTCTCTGGTGGTTGTTGCTGAGGTACTTCCTGTAATCATAATGAAAACCACAAGGATTGGTCCAGCCACACATTGGCTCTGGTCTGGGAAATGTCTGTTGGGGTTGCCACAAGTACTATGGCCTAGATGAGTGCCCTAGGCATTTCTAGCCAACAGCATCACTACTGACAGGCTGAGACTGACTCAAGGGTTCTGATGCCAAACAGCGGGAGAAGATTGATATCCTGGCTCAAGAAGAGAGAATTTACCCTTCATCCACCTATTTTGTTCTACTGGGGCCCTTGATGCCACCCACATTGGTGACAGTGGACCTTCTTTACTCAGTCTACTGATTCAAAAGCTAATCTCACAGACACACCCAGAAACAACATTTTACCAGCTATCTGGGCATCCCTTAGCCCAGTCAAGTTGACACATAAAATTAACCATCACAACTGGCTCAGGAAGCCCCAGTAGAAAATTACAAAATGTGGCTTGCTGGGGCATGCCAAAAGTCAGTTAAGCATTTGTACACCAGCTTATGAGCACTTGCACTGTTACAGAAGGAAGCTATCCTCACTGGGAACAGAACAGTTGGCTCTTCTGCTTTAGAAGTCATTCACGACAATCACTGATTCTTTGATTATCATATACTAAAAATGTGCTAGATACTGGAGTTCAGAGATGATTAAGACAAAGTTCTTGCTTGAATTCAAAAATCTCAAAGGAACAGATGTGTAAAGAGATAATTACAGTAAAATTCTGTGCAATAACATCAGAAGTAGTAACCAGCATGATCTTATAAAAACTGACTGTCTGTAAAGGGAGAAATTAATGTGAATACAATAATGGTAGGAGAATTTAACACCCCACTAACATCATTAAATAGATCTTCCAGACAGAAAATCAATGAGGTAAAGGAGATACTAAATGACACAGTAGAATAGTTAGACTTGATTATATCCCTCCCCAAAATAGAATATACATTCTTTTCCAGTGCACCTGGAACATTTTCTAGGATAGACCACATACTTGGACACAAAAGAAGCCTCAACACATTTAAGAGGATAGAAATAATTTCAAGCATCTTTTCTTACCATAATGGTATGAAATCAACCACAGAAAGAAAAACAAGAAAAAAATGACTACATGGAGACTAAAAAACATGCTCCTAAAAAAATCAATAGGTCAATGATGAAAGCAAAGAAAAAATTTTAAAATACCTTGAGACAAATGACAATGAAAACATAGCCACATAAAAGCTATGGGATACAGCAAAAGCAGTCCTAAGAGGGAAGATCATAGCAATACAGATCTTCCTCACAAAACAAGAATAAACTCAAATAAACAACCTAACCTACCATCTAAAAGAATTTGAAAAAGAAGAACTAACAAAACTCAAAGTCAGCAGAAGGAAAGAAATAATAAAGATCAGGGAGGAAATAAATAAAAGAGATTTAAAAAATAATAGAAAAAATCAATCAAACCAAGAGCTGGTTTTTTGAAAGAGTAAACAAAATTGACAAACTTCTGGCCAGGCTCACCAAGAAGAAAAGAGAAAGGACACAAATAAACAAAATAAGAAAAGAAAATGGAGAAAGTACAACCAATACCACTGAAATACAAAAAAAAAAAAAGAGAGAATCCTATGAACAACTATATGGCAACAAACTGGACAGCACAGAAGAAATGGACAAGTTTCTAGAAACATACAGTCCATCAAAACTGAATCAAGAAGAAA